AAGATAGCTTAGGGTGCAATAAGGGTCGATTTGTATGATTCGTGTGATATCCCATATTGGTTGGGGAGGAGAACAAAACACCCTTTATAAGGGTGTGGAAACCTTCTTCTAGCAAACGCGTTTCAAAGCCTTGAGGGGAAGCCTGAAAGGGAAAGCCTAAAGAGGATAATGTTTGTTAGAGGTAGATCTGGGTCGTCACAAATGGTATCAGAGCCAGACACCGGACGATGTGTCGGCCAACCTTCTCGCTATTCTCCAAAGGGGGTAGACATGAGGCGGTGTGCCAGTAAGGACGCTGGTCCCAAAGGGGGTGGATTTGGTGGCGATCCCACATCGATTAGAGAAAGGAACAAGTGCTAGCGAAGACGCTGGGCCCTGAAGGAGCGTGGATTGTGATGTCCCACATTTATAAGGGTGTAGAAACCTTCCCCTAGCAGACGCGTTTTAAAGCCTTGAGGGGAAGCTCGAAAGGGAAAGCCCAAAGACAACAATATCTGTTAGCAGTAGATCTGGGTCGTTACAAATTGTATCAGAGCTTAAAGCCTTGAGGGGAAGCTCGAAAGGGAAAGCTCAAAGACAACAATATCTGTTAACGGTAGATCTGGGTCGTTACAAATGGTATCAGAGCTAGACGCCGGACGATGTGCCAGCCTTCTCGTTGTTCCTCAAAGGGGGTAGACATGAGGCAGTGTGCCAGTAAGAACGTTGGACCCCGAAGGGGGGTGGATTGTGATGTCCCACATTTGTAGAGGTGTGAAAACCTTCCTCTAGCCGACACATTTTAAAATCTTGAGAGGAAACTCGAAAAGAAAAGCCCAAAGAGGACAATGTCTGCTAGCGGTTGATCTAGGTCGTTACAATTCAATAGTAAGACAGACAACCCTAGCATACGCATTTTAAAGCCTTGAGGGCAAACTCGAAAAGGAAAGCTCAAAGAAGACAATATCTGCTAGTGGTGAATCTGGGACGTTACAATTCGATAGTAAGACAGACAACGTGTGTTTTTGAGAGAGAAATTGGCCTTGATAGAAACCAAGCTCTCGACACGAATGTGAGTGCAATACAAACATGAACGATACCTATTAGAGAGGTAACTTAATGGTATTTTGTTCGAGAGCGGACAATTATTAGGGTTACAATCAAAGTTTTACCTTGCCTAAAAATGAGCATATTGCAAATAAAAGTTTAGAACAATATTTTTCGTTATAAATTTGGATATGATCGATTCATCCCATCAATATATTGATTATTAAGTTAAAAAATAATAATAATAAACTATATTATAAAATCTTAAACCCCGACATAAAGATAAGCGGTGGTTAGAAAATGCAAAGGCCGTCCACCTTAGCTTTAAATTTATTTTATTACATTAATGACGGCGTGAGTAATGGCTTAGTCACTATCAATTTATTTTTTATTTTTTTATTTTTTTTATTTAATTGAATTGTGAGATGATAAGTGGATGTAGATCTCACTACCCCTCGTTCCAATATGGCTCAGAGAATAATTTTTTTTTTATTAAAATAAATATCTTTTTATTAAAAATAAGATTAATATTAATTATTTTAAACGTGGATCCATTGTCGGTTTCATAATTATTAAATTGATTAATATTTATTATTATTAGGTAAAGAATAATTAATTAAAATGGGAGTGGATTAGAGAAGACTTTGGGCAAATAAAAAGAGCACTATGGATAAAGTCAAATGGATTATTAATTAATATATTAAATTTGTCAAAGATAAACTAAATTTTTTTATACCCAATTTTAATCCATTCAAATAAGATATAAAGGATTCCTTTAAACTTTAAAACAAAAAATAATAAAAAATAAGAACTATTTTAATTTTTATATTAAAATATCTTAATTAGTTTGAATGTTTAAAAAATTACTTGTTATAATTTTATTTCATCAGCAGCCTTGCTCTTCCTGGAGTTGGAGAGTAAGGAAGCCGATTGAACCGAGGGGATGAATCCATCATGAACCGAACCGAATCTAACTGTATTTTGAAAGGAATTTGTTATATAGAGAAGCGGCGGAAGGTTTTCCTTGCCGGAGTGGAATATGACGGCGGCGAACTCCATGGAAGACGATGAAGGTATGAGATTGAGATTTGAAGAAGGTTACCATGGGTTTATTATAATGATCGGGAAAGTGAAAATGAAAATTTTGGACTAGGAATTTGGGGTTTTTGTCCCACATCGGAAAGTTTGATGGTAGACCGACGTTGAGAGGCTATAAAAGGCGAGTGGAGGATGTTGACAAACTCATCTTTGCGCTTGGGGCAATGACGCAGCTAGTGAGGTTCTAACCGAGGCGCGTCAATTGCTGGTTGAAAACTATTTCCAAACCCCCTCTTAGGCCTGGGTTTGGCCCAGGCCTTCGAGAATTTCTGGAAGGGCTCCCTTCGGGGTAAAGCCCTACAATACTTAGTTCTAAGCTTCAATTTGGTTATTTAAATAAATATTGCAACACAAATTGTTGCAATTTTATTTTGTTTTCCATGAATTTCATTGTTGACCCTGTGAAATATGAGATTTCACGGATTTTGTCGCAGAGACTTTTTGGAGAAAATTTCCCTATATATATATATATTTATTTGAAACGAAGAAGGGCATGACATATATGCATCAATGTGTCACGGACTAGGACATAGCTAATCCACACATGCGTTGATGTGTGGAACATATTTGTTGGGGACTAAGCAGAGTGGTAGCTAATCCATTAAAAGTTTACTCTTTGATAACTTCATATTTATACATGATGGTTGTGCACATGCATCAATGACTAAACAAGACATAGCTGACCCCACTAAAAGTTTATTTCGAGTAATTTCAAGTATATAACCCCACTAAAAGTTTATTTTGAGTAATTTCAAGTATATACCTGGTCCGATGGTAATTTTTTAGTTTGATCTTCTAAAGTTTATAGATATGATCGGGAGGAAAAAACATATAAAATATCATTTTTTAACATCTCTCCTTTCCATTTTTTGTGTTGAGATTAAATATAAAAAGTTAACATTCCAACAAAGTGTACATATTTAATAAACTTTTATATTTATTTTTATAAGCATCTCTTTCTCCCCATGTGACCTTTGATTCTGTCACGTGATCTTTATTCTCAATTTCTCTGGCAAATCATTTCAAATAACTCCGATTATTTTATTTCATTATTGTTTTACTATAATAGTAATAACAATAACAATAACCTTATGGATCTATTAGATAAATATAAGGACAACTAACCTAAATTTTTATTTATTATGAAATTATTTATAAAATTATATTTTAGCTTTTGATAAACCCTTTATACAGAAAATCTTTTTCTTTTGCCCCAAGTCATTAAAAAAATCATATAAAATAAGAATTTGAGACATCTAATAACCAATATTTGCTTAATAAAAAATCAAAATTCAAATACAAAAACTAGAGCTTCCTATTTGAGATTGAAACACAATTCTAAAAAACAAATACCCGATTACCATAGGCCAAACCCATGACCGGCCCGATTTCCGACCCGACCCGCTTATGTCTTCACTCGGCCCCAACCCTACCGATGGTGTCTGGCTTGAAAAGTTCCCATTTCTCAACGAACTGCGCCATAAAATGAGAAATCAAATCCAATTAAAACTAAAAAAAGAAGAAAAATAGTTGCAGAATCATTGGTGGCCGATGATTTCAACCATGATCCACATTATTTTTCTTGATTACTAGGTTTTAAAGATCAACAATGAAATTTACCTAGCTGGGATTCTGCAATTTCCGTAGCCTGAAAACAAGAGAGATCAAAATCAGAACACAAATTCAAATAGCATTTCAGTTACAGATCTGGAAAGGTTTTGAATTAAAGAACAGATTCGGCTAAGAAACTGAGAGATCGGAGTGAAGAAACAGACTAGGGTTTAAGGAGGTGATAGCCGCGGCGTTTTGGAAGAAGCAACTGTCGTCGGTCATGCCGTGCTTACGGAAGTAGTCGTTGAAGGCGAAGGAGGCCATATTCTGGACGTTGGATGCGTCGTAGCATGCGCCACCGGGCTGGATTGGTGAACAGTCGGCACCGCCGGCGCCGCAGGCCCAGTCGAGGGCGGATTGCAGAGAAGCGTCGTCGGCGTTGTTCTTGGCCACGCACCAGAGCTCCGTCGCGCCGCTTTGGTCCCTGGTGGACGGCTGCCGGGACTCCGCCGCGCTGCTGCCGAGAATCAGAAGAATGAGAAGAAAGAGCGCAAAATTATTGGCCATTTTCGACGGGGAGATCGGGAGGAGGGAGAGAGAGATTTGGAGATTGGGGGCTTTAGAGAGAGAGAGGAGATTTGGAGAGTGGGGGCTTTAGAGAGAGAATACAAAGGGGAGGTTTAAGAGGGAACAGGGGAAGTGACCGTTACGGAGATGGCAGAAACGGATTCCACTACTAATCAGTTTTGGATGATTTTCAGGATTAAGCCCTTAATTAGAGCCTTCTATATAAAATGCTAAAAGTTGGGGGGCTCTCCTGCTATTTATAAGAATATGATATAATTTTATTAAATTAGACCTTAAAATTAAATAATTATTATAATTTTTACTATCAATTTAATTTTACTAACTCGTCCACTAAGTTTAATAAATAAAAAATGGTGTAAAAATAATTTTAAAAATCCAGTAATTGCAATAAAATAAAGTTATGCAAGTTTGACAATTACAATAATTAACCATTAAAGAGTTAAAATTGTAATAATTTTATAAAATTAAAATTTGTACAACTTGAAAATTTTCCAAAATTAAAAGAAAACATTTGGAAAAATGAGGCGGATGGTATGGACTGCGCGCTGTAGTTAAGCCCATGTTTGTAAATGGACAGCCGCTAAAACAGCCCAGTTCTATTGTGGGCCTGAAACATTGGGCCCATACTGAAAATATTCTTCTCGGACCTCCCTAGTTTAAGAAAAACTGAATTGATTAATATTATATTTTTTCAATTAATAAGATTAAATAAATGAGAAATAATGGGAGAGGCAAAATAAAGCCACGAGATGTGGAACTTTACCTTTCACTATATATAATATAAATTATACAAAATTAAATGGAAGCTACACAAAAGAACTAAACCCTCTTTTTCTCTTTTTAAATTTCAGAGAAATTTAATCCCCATTTCCCACACATTTTTATAATTTATATAAATATTTTGGTTCTGTTCTTACTTGTTTGTTGTATGAAGCATATAGGAGCGGGTCGTCTCGGGTTCGACCTGGATCCGGTGCTTCAAACTTGATAATTTAGCAAAAACGCCGACCAACGGCGCTGTATTGTAGGTGCAGGCCTCGGTCTGCATGTAATTCCCTCTATCATCGGAAAATTTGTCTTCGCAATCGGGGCCGCCAACCACCGCTCCGACGACGACGTTTGGGTTCGGATCTCCACGGCCGTACCAATTGTCGTAGCCCTGTGTGCAGCCGATGAACGCCTTGTTTTCTCTATGCGACATAATGGAGGCTCCTCTGTGGTGAACCCTAGTAGGAAAATTGGGGCCAAATCCGACCAAATAGCTCATGTTCATTGGGTTGGAGCCGAGTATGTAATCCGTTTGTTGTTTTGCAAAGGCAAAAAGCTCTTCGTGATCCACGGGTCCGGTGTGGCAGTTGAGACGGTGGTTGGATCGGCGGAGGTAGTCGGAGTAGACAGTGAGAAGAAACGACGCCGTAGAGACGTATTGCATGTTGTTCCACTGGCGGATGAATAAAAGGCCGGCCGGAGTTCTCTCGACGTTGCTGACATTGTTCTTGTTGAGGATCGTGCAGAGGTAATACTCTGCTTTTGATCGGTACTGCTCCAGGATTTTTGCTTGCTTATTGTTCTTATTATGCCTCCCCTGCATTAGCAACTAAAAAAGCAAGCAAATAATTGTAATTAATTGTTTGATCTAAGAACATATAAAGGATTAAATTGAAAATATTTAAATGGTATGGACAAAAATGGGTGATCCTGAGATGGAGGGAAGGGAAATTAAAAGGGACACTTGGCGAGATTTGAGTAGGCAGAGGGGGATTTCATGGCTGTGGTATCGGATGCACGTGGCCTTGTGCTCCATCCAACATGACTCGAAGTCTAAAACTTTACCCTTGCCGTCCTAATGGGTCCTTTAATTAAGGGCCACTCCATCTCTGGCGTGAAAAAAAGCTAAAAGCTTAACAAACGGTGACTGTGAGAGAGATTCTCCCTCCTTTTCCTTTGTACCATTTATCATTCCATCTCAGACTCCTTAATCAAACACTTAATCCACCTCCCCAAGTAACTAACCTATTGTTTGACTGATCTTAATCGAGTTTAGGGACACACGAGAGCATCAACAACACAAACTTAACACGAAATCAAAATTTTAGACTTTTTTTATGATTATACCAATTAAAAAGTTCATCGATCTACCACAAAAATGGAAAGTAACTATCTATGAGATCAACTTATGAAATGCAATAAAAACATACCACATCGATCTAGAGTGGGTATGGGTTCAAACTTCTAATCACCTTCCTATCTAATCTAATTCATTGTGCTAAAGTGAACACAAATAACATTATTCAAGTAATATAAGAGAATTAAATGGAAGGAACCAGCAATAATGATGAGTGAATTTGGGGTGGGGTTTGAGGAATTTTTTTTACCTTGGAGGCCATGAGTTGGACGCCAGCATACTTGACGTCCCAGCTGAACTCGGAGATGGCCCAGCCAATGCCACCGAAGCTGTGAGCGTTGTTAAGGACGTACTCAAGATAGTGTGGATTGTCGGTGGCCTCATAGAGCCACAGCGCAGCCCATAGAAGTTCATCTTTATACCCACTCACCGACGCGTAGTAGCTCTTCACTATTCCCACACTTGAGTCATATTTCCCTCTGAATTTATCCCCAAACTCAAACAACTTCACACCAGTATTCAGATTCCCAGACACAGTCAGTCAAAATTAATTCTGTTTTCAATTAAACTGCCTCTCAACTAATAACGCAACTAATTCTGTTCAATTTCTGTTACCTGTTGCGCGTGATGGAGCAGCAGGTGCGAGTAATGTGAGTTCGTTTTTCTGAACACGATCGACGCTGCAGCCATCGACGCCGCCGTTTCTCCGGCGAGATCTGACCCCGGCTTCCTCTCGTCGATTTTGTAAGCTTGTCGTGACGTCGTCATGTCCTCCGGCCTCTGCCAGCAGTAATGGTCCGTATCTCCATCGCCAACCTGTAAATTAATGCTTATGGAGCAATGTGATTCGATTGGTGATGGTGATAGCGAAATTATGATAAGTTGAGAATGAGGCTCACCTCTGCCCATAGCACATTGGGGCTAGTGTGCGCTTTGATGAAGTAATCGGTTCCCCACTTGATCGCCTCTAGAGCGTGCCCTAATTCACCGGCGGCTTCAATTTCTTGTCGGTACTCGATGACGCTCCAGGATAGCATCGTTATAGTGAAGGCCATTGGGAGGCCGAACTTGACGTGATCACCGGCGTCATAGTATCCTCCGACTAAATCCACCTATAACACCGAGAGAAAAAAAACAACTCCGATCATTTTCCAAAAGCGAAGCTAAAGAAAAACGAAAACCAGAGCAGCTATTGCAGATTTAGAGCAACTAACTCCTTGTTCAAGCCCGTCGGTGAGGCCGGAATGGTCTCGCCAGTTGACGCGCTGGTTGTACGGCATCCTTCCCGATCGCTGAGACTCGAAGTAGAGGAGGCTCTTGGACAGAGCATCAGCGTAATCAAAAGCTCCGGCTGCAAAGTTCCAGAGAACAGAGAAGGAGAGGAAGATCAAGAGACGGCGTTTGCCAGAATATCTCTGAGGTTTCGGAGGTCCGGCACGGCGGCAGCATTGCGTCGTCGCGGCCGTCTTCTCCTCCTCCATTAACGGAGTTGATTGCTTCTTCTTTGCCGTTGAAATTGATTTCGGAAGCGAAATGGGAGAGAGAAAAAGTAAGTCTCTCTCTCTCTCTCTTTGTCCACTCGCTTTCTCACACTTTAAACCCGTTGAAGTACGTTTCTGGTTTTTGGTTTAATTGGTTTGGAAATGACATTCGCACGTGAATCTCACGTGACTTAAAAAATCAAAATTTTATAAGTACTATATTTTTTAATCTCCAAATTTTCAATATTAATCATTTTAGTACTCTTCCTCTCAAATTTTTAATTTCCATCGTTTACTTTTTTTTTTAATTACCATTTCGATATATATAATATTTTCATTTTTTTTAATCTTCATTTAATAATTTTTTTCATCAAATAGAGATGAAAATGGTAACTTTTTACTCTACCTACCCTTGGAACTTTGACTGGTTCGTTGCCATTTTGAATGAAAAGTCACTTTCACCCCCTTCAAACTTTCATATCTACCATTCACAACCCTTCGTTTTGTCTTTTTAACTTTTGGCGGACAATTTTAGGATAAAAATGTCCCAATGAAACATCATAGTATTTCTAAAATAAAGGTCAATTTAGTAATTTAGTCTTTATATTTTAATATATGCAATAATTTAGTTTAGTATTTTAAAAAATAAACCATTTAACTTGAAAATTGAGAAAAATATATTAAATTACAAAATTAGCGCCAAAAAAGTTAAGAATTTAATGTTTATAATTATGGAAAGTTTATCCAACCATATAAACTATGTACAAAGATTTTATCGAATTATAATACTAAAATGTTAACTTTTCATATGACCCCATATATATCGAGGGACCCTGTATCATTCATTATTAAAACGACAAGGTAATCTTAATGAAAATCAACAGGAATGTGTTTTGAATTTTTGAATAAAAAGTGTTAGGTAGAACTCGCTGGAATTTTTGGGGTCACCTCAGAACCAATTCCTCCAATCGAATTGCAGTAGGCCTCGTGAGAAGATCTACAACACCCATAATTTGTAGTAGTACGCTTTGCTCAGCATTTTCTACTGACTTGTTAACCTAATAGAGTTACAGTTACTTGACACAACATCTTTCTTCTCGACCGCGGAACCATTATGTTACCTAGGTTATGACTACTCCATAAGATTGACAGTCAGGACGGTGGCACGACGTAGGTAGGTTCGGGATAATCCAATCAATCTTTTTTTTCCCTCTTTTTCTGAATTTGTCTCTGTCCATTTTTTCTATGGAACTCAGCAGACGTAGTATAGAACTTGTTGGTATCACTCGTTTTTTATTTATGAGTTTCGTATAATTAAAATTAAATAATTTAATATAAGGGGGAAATAGGAAAAACAAAAAAGAAAGTAGATGGGCCCACGAGTTAAAAGAAAAAGGCAAGATAAGCATGATGTGTGTTGATTGCGGCAATCAGATGCATACATCATATGACCATAATAACCCCTAATTATGGAATTTGTCACGCAAAACATTATAACACGCCAAATTTAATTTATTAATTATGTAACTTAATATACATTAAACGCTAAATTACAAAAAAAAAAAAAAAAAAAAAAAAAAAAAAAAAAAAAAAAAAAAAAAAAAAAAAAAAAA